GACTTGCGAAGGACACAGTGCCGAATTTGTGTAGCTTCAGGGCTCCAGGGGAACCATTCCTGTGCTTTATGTGCAATCTCTCTTTGAGCAAGCAATGCTGCAGGAATCGCAGCCCTCGGTGTTGCTATGGATCGTAGCAGAAACAGGAAGAGAGACCAGGTGGATTTGTGGATGACTTAGTAACTTAAAAAAAATAATCTTTCCACTGGCCCTGCCTCAGCACTGCTGGAATGTCTTATTTACTCACGTAAAGAGGAGGTTGTGGGGACACAGCTTCTCTCAGTCAGTCTTTTATTCAGCTGGAGTGGAGCTGAAGAACTGAATCACATTTAAGTCTGTAGAGTGGCTGTTTGGTCCCCACACACACACACACTTTTTCCTTCTTTTCTTCATCCAAGATTCAGACAGGAAAGCAGCACCACTTTTCACTGAAGCCAGGGTGCTTTGGGAAACATCTCAACTGGCCTTTGAAATCTTATTTCCAGGATCTGGGAGAGCTCTCCAAAAAGCGCCATGGCCCACCCACATTCAAACAACACAGACTCTGGAGGAGTCCTCGCCAGCCCCAGCCTACTGCAGGACACGTGGGTGGGCCTTCAACTTCTGGACACTTGCTAAAAATAAATAAATAATGGGACTTCAAAGCAAACTAGCTGAAGCACTTCAGAAAATTAATCATGCCTGGTGGAAAAGATGATTAGTGGCTTCTTGTGCTCTTTTTTAAAGCTATTGATCTTGGACACAGGAAGGAGCTTTCATATTCTCCACAAGCCACAGATGGTCAAAAGGGTCCTGAGAAGAAGAGACAAAAGGCAACCACAAGAGAACTCCAGAGGGTAGCAGAACTCAAGGTGTGTCCCAGGACCCAGCCATACCACTGCAAAGGATGCACTAGAAGAGCAGCACCAGCTTGTTTTGTAATTTTTCCTTTCTTTCAGCTTTCTTAAGTCGTTGTCTATATTTTCTACCTTCAAAGCAGGTAAGCTCTGCAGGTCATTTCCCAGCACACCAGACACACTACACACTCCAGAAACACCAAACCAAATGATTTGCCAAGCCTTTGGCACTGTAAGAAGGCAGAGGCAGGAATCACAAGACAAAGACAACGAGGTCTTTCAAGTAAGCCAACTGTTTGATGATTGTAATAGTGGAATCTCTCTCTCCGGACAATTCTGTAGACTTTCTGTAAACTGATTTTTCCACATAACAGATAATTGCTTCAGAAAACACAAACTGTAATCCCTAAATTACCTTCAAGCTAGTCTGGTGTAGGGTCAAGCTTTCTTCTGGGAAGCACTGTCTATTTTCATCTCCAATCAAAATACAATTAAATGTAAGAAATAACCACAGTTTCTCTATAGCTAAGATGATACATATGCTATTTTTATTAGAGCAAAACCCGTATTTTTTAATGAACTTTCCTAGGAAGCTTCGAACTATATCCAATGACTATATCCAGATCTTCCCAATATTTGGAAATCCATACACTGGCCATTCCTTACCCTGAAATATATGAAGGCTTTTTTTTTTTTTTTTGTATACATCTGTATTAGCATACTGACCAAAATTAAAATTCAAGCAATTACATTTGTCTGTTTGCCATTTCCCTTAAATTATCTTGGCTTCATGCACCTAGTTCCCTTGTGGCAATGAGCAACAAATGTAATGGCACAATTACAAGTACAGAGCAGCAGAGAAACAAATAGCAGGTGCATGGGACAGGAGGGAAAAGGGGGGTTGTTTGAGTTGGCAAATGTTCCCCCAACTACGTCTTTAGGAAGGAAGGTAGAGGCTCCAAAATGCCTTCATGGAAAATAAAGCACATTTAAACTCCAAGCAAGGAACTGCTCCTGTGATCAGAACTCTCTTTCTGAAAGAGATTTAAATAGCTGAGGCAGCACGGGAGCCCTTGATGACTATATTAACATTTTGACATTTCTTTGCACAGTCACTGGAACTACATTATTAGCAAGGATCTCACAGCCTTAAATTCCACTGTGGAATACTGTATTGCAAGAGTGGAAATACAAAAAAAACTCAGTATTTTTTTTTCCCCGTTCTTCTCACAATAGTTGCCTTCCTCCCACAAGAAATAAACTACTGCTTATGCTGTCCCGTCAGAGTACGCTCCCTCAGAAGGAACCATTCCCAGGAAAACCAAAGTTCAGACAGCTGCTGAATTTTATTTTTAATATAAAAAACTTAATTTGAAAAAGGAATTTGCATTTCATCCTACTGATTGTTTCAGAAGATCTTCCTATAATTCCAGAAGATGAGCAGAAGAAATCAACAGTCGGAACACATTACCTGCAAGAGTTTACAGTTTTGCTGGGGACAAGAAAGAAAGGCAAAAGGGAGAAAAAGGAACTAGAAACCAAGAGTTCCAGTCATCGTGCAGTAAAAAATCAGTGCATGAGATACAGGGTAGCACAATGCAGGAGGGCCTAGAACCCCACCTGTGGAGCAGAGTGAAATTTTTCTGCACTGCGTTTCTGGTCAGAGAAACTGGGCTGCAGCAAGCATAAAACAAGTCCCTAATCACAACACGCTTGATTGAAAAAGCATCCAGCATCTAATTCTATTACCAAGCAGAGCTGTGAAAAATGTTTCTCATCATAAAATAAAATGAGTAAGTTTTGGCTACTTTACGGACTCTGTAAAAGTATGATAGTATAGGTATTAGAAAAAGAAAAAAAAAAAAGAAAGAAAAGAAAAAGGAAGCCCAAAGGAATTTTTCATGCGGAGCAGTGTTGTCTAGAGGTGAGAGCATGGGAGCTGGGAGACCAGCAGTCTACTCCTGGTGCTGTCGTCAGCTTGCAGTGAGGCGCTGACCCAGTGGCTTCACACCTGTAAGGCTGAGGTTCCTTGGGTGTCACACAGGTACCACCATCACTGTGTGACTGCGACTCAACTAATGAATGGGGTGCTTTGGAGGCTTTTTGACAGACATGCTACAGTGGTTGTAATGTGTTATTTATTATCATTCAAGGGCAGATTCTAGATAGACATAGAAGCTGAAGACCTTCTCAAGGTATTTATTACGCCTCCCATGGTATTAAGCTGTTTGTTTGTTTTCCTTAAGATTGGTAGTATCTTAGGGTTAAAAATCCCTTTTTATTAAGAAACTCTTACTTCTACTAACATGAAGATGATGTCTAAATTTTCTTTCAAATAGCAGAAAGACTTCCAATATCAGTGTCCAAAATTTTACACAATACTTTCAATGTCGTAGAATTATCTTGTACCAAGCAATTATTACAGTGTGTACTGTTTTCTACATGCATTCACCAATACTCAGGTGTGTGCCTGTTTCTCTGCTTCCCAAAACAATTTATCATCATGGCATCTCTTGTTATTCTATACTTCTACAAGTCAGCAAAGAATAGCAAATCATCTCACAGCATTTTCAACACAAAATGAATTGGCCATTCAAGAAAACACTTTCCCCTAACTAGGGGATAAAATGGTAGCGTACCCACCAGATCAAAGACCACACTAGTCCTTACTGGTATACCTGACATTTCTTTTCTTTTCCCTCCTGTTTGATGCTATAGCATCTGCCTGGACCAATACTCAGTAATTCCTGTTCAGTGCACTCTTTACAGCACCTCAGTTTTACCCTGTGTGCATTTATGTAAATTGCTATTATTTACACGTTAGTTTCATAGTTGACTTTTTATTATTATTTAAAAGCCTGCTGATGCTACCTTCTGCATTTATTCTAGTCCAGAGTTTATGAGAGCCCCAGTCCTGCTATCAGACCACTGGGGTTAATTTGTTATTTCAAGTTAATGTGGTTTCAAAGGAACTCAAGCAGTTCCCATTGCCGGATCAGGAACAAAGTGCTCATACACTGGTATGGGACCAACTCTCAAGAGAGTAGCAGAACCAAATGAGTACTCCAGCCTCCTAATTCTCCTTGATCATAGCACTTTTAGTAAAGTAACTCTCAGTGAAGGCTTGAGACAATTAATTAGGAAGCGCCCTGGAGTATGAACAACAGGCTGTTACTGTCATTTGAAGCCAATATTTATTAATCTTCAAAATTTCTATATGGGAAGGTTACACAAACAGGGTTATTTTATATTATACACGTTTTCTTTAGGTCTTTATTCTGCCTAGGAATAAAACTTAAATGCAGCGGGGCCCTTTTGCAATATTTTAAATGTAGCTGTTAAACATTGCTTTACTAATAACTTGTCCCATTTTTCCAACTGAGTGATCACTTCAAAAAGATGAGATAGACTGTGGTGTAGAAATCAAAGAAGAAACATTGGGTCATTTTCCACAAAATACTCATTTTACTTTGAAGCCTAGTGGGCAGTACCAACCTGAAGGCAACAGACATTATAAAGGAGTTTGATGCTGAAAGCATCTGGGCTGAAAAAGGCAGAATAAGAAAGAGACCTTTAGCCTGGATGTCTCAGCTTTTCATATGGGTGGCTGACAAGCTGGGCTATAGGGTAAACCATAACGTGCCAAGCACCACGGAGACCGGAGCCAAGAAAGGGATAATTTCAGGCAAGACCCAGTCTCTAGAGCCAAAACCACTGGCCTGAAAGCTTTTCTCAGAAGGTTTGCTGTTCCCATCACTGCTGGGATGAATTTTAACTCATTATTGATCAAGGGAATTTTAAAATCAATTTTAATTAAATGAAAGATTTCTATCATGGCTTGTTCTGTGTGGAAGTCACACAGACGACATATAAATATATGGAGGCAAATCAAGCAGAGCAGATTTGTAGCACTTAGGCCCTAAACAGGTGAGAAAGAAGCCAAAGTTACATCTCAAAGCAGATTTGTTATAATAAATTACCTACAGGACATGCCTCTTCCCCCCACCATTTTTGCCTTTGCCACTGGAATTTAGTCAGACTTGCTTTTTCTTGCCGAAGCAATGATTTTTATTAGGTTCTCCGTTGTATCTCAAAACAACTGGAAAAGAGCTGAAGGAGACTACTACATAGCAATGCCTGGCAGCGGTGGATTGCTCAGCTTACCACCAACAGTGAGGTTCAGCATGGTGAAGAGGAGCAGCAGTCCCTCAGCTGAGGCTCCATCTGTACAGACAACAGCTCGTTCAAATCTCATGCCTCTCAGGTTTTCAGGGCAGGCAGGTGCTGGGATCTGCTGTGCAAGACAGAACAGAAAAAATGGAAGTAATCAAAAAGAATTGTCTAATAAAAAGATTAATTGACAAGTTCAGGTAGGCACACAAACCCACTTGCTCACTGGAAGGAGCTTGGTGAGATGGTTTATGCCTTCATCCCACAAGGAGCGAGGACCAAGCCTTCACTCTCTCTCTTTGTTAGCTAGACCAGGGACTGTTCTTGAGATGCCTGAGTTTCCTTCGGTAGCACCAGGCAGGAGAACAAGGATTTCATCTCTTTTCAGGTGCAGCTGGCTGTCTGATAGTGCCACTTCCCAGCTCCTGGCCATATCTGGGTTTGTAAAGCAGTTTATAGAGAGGCTCTGAGGGAGCTCCACTGAAATCAGTGGACACCAGGCACTTCTGCCATTGCAGAAAGCTCAGAAAGAGCCAATGTGCATCCTTCAACACCTGCATACTCCAGTTCACAGCATTCTGCCTCAGGCAAAAGGTCATCCCAGTGCCAGTGCCACGGGTCACAAGTTCAATCCCCAAGATCAAACGTGCATTCAACTGAGGCTCCAAAGCAAATCAATGGGAGATGACTTAGTCACGTGCAGACAGTGCTGCACAGACTCATGAGCCTCCTGTATCATCTACCACAAACATAAGGCTGTTTGTGTACAATTTAGGTTTTACAATTATTAGTTCATTAACATTAATTCGTTAGTCGTCACGGCAAGCTCTCCAAGTAGAGCAGCCTTACGCTGGTTCCTTGGGTAAGAAATCAAAGGGCCAAGGGGTTAAATGGCTTGTCAGAGGTCACAGGAAAAAAAAAAAATCAATGGGAAAACTGGAATTAGAACTAAAAAAAATGCCCAATTCCTTGCTTTGCATTTAATCCACTTTGCGTCACTTAATCAAAGGCAACAAATAAAATAAGCACAGTCCCACATGGCTCCTTACGGACAGAAAAGGTTTTTTTCAGCCATAAGGTCCCTACCAAGCCCGGTTAGAATCTACAAGGCTTCCCTGTGTTTTCAGATACAATGCACACTGCAGTAAATAGGTTATTTTACAACCCTGGCCCAGTTTTCAAAGTGGCCTCAATCAGAGTTGTGCAAAACATTCATGTCCAACCACAAAATTACAATCAGTCTTTGTTTGAATTCAGCCTGTGTCCCTGGCCAGCAGTGGTTAGGCCGAACTCTTCAGGCCTGTGCACTGTTAGTCCAAGGTTTTTGCAACGTTTCTGCCCTGCTTGGATTTCTCTGAATATTTATAGGCTGCTGCTCTGTAGTGACTTTCATGTTCAAACTGTGTTGGCTGGTGGGGGTGGAAGGGGATGTAAATAACAGACAGTCACATGTTTTCCACTACCCCGCTTGTTTTGCTTCCAGTAAAAAATCGAGCGCTACGAGACACGTGTTGCAAGAAAACAACTGCAAGGCCTGACTGCGGGGCATTTAAATTAGTGTAACAGTATTTCTACACACTTGAATGTTTTCAAATGTCCAGCTATTGTGAAATCCGAGTCAACAGTTTGGAGATTCAAGCAGACCTGTGGAATTAAAATTTGTAGCATTGCTTAATATTTTAGGGTGGGGATGGAAAATGTCCCTTTCAAAAAGTCTTGACCGTGAAGTTCCAAGGGAAGGAATTCACCTGTGAGGTCCATACCGTGTTCTGCCCGGCGATCAATGCACTCCAAAGCGGGATCCACAAAATTGAGCCAATGCCGTGCTGAAACCTGTGCCATGCTGAGGCAATCGATGGAGAACATCAAGCGCATGGTGGTTGCTGCTGTTGGCACTCACATCATACCCAACAGCATGAAGAAATCAGAAAAGCACGCAAGTTTCCAAATAACTTCGTCTGCTGTGCAGAAGTGTAAACAAGACCTTACATCATATACATCATCTCGTGCTTCGGCTGGGTTAACTACAGCATACTCGGAGTATAATGGGACGGCTTGATTGTACTTATTTCCTAGATGCGTATTTGTAGTTCTGAGACACAACGTGGAGGTGTTTCAATTCCAATGAATCCCAGCTCTGCACAGATGCAGATTCGCTGTCATCTGTAAATGTGTTCACAGCTCCTGGATTGTGCACGCAGCCTTGGCCATCAGGTGGCTTGCTGCTTGAAACACCAGCACAAAGCCGGTTCCATTTGGGAGAGAAATAAGCTGATGGCACAGTCTAGAGTTGTTTGTGGAAATCAGGCCTTTGAGGACTATGTGTCCAAAAAAATCCTAGCAAGGGCTAAACAAAGGAAATATGCATTCTTGTGTTGATGGCGGAGTGTTCCAAGAATCTGAGAAAACAGCAGTCTGTACGTATGGTTGACGAGTCACCCTGACTGGGGATATCTGCAAAGTCCAAGTGAAACCGTAACGAATGACTGTTGAAAAGACACAGCTAAGAATGCAAAACAGAAGAGAGAAAGCAAGGCACAAGCACCTAAAGCAAAATGCTTGCATTGTCCATGCACAAACACAGTTAAAGCTGATCCACAGCAGTAACAGAAGTTTTAGGCTGCCCCAAGCCCTTTGTAAAATACCCAAATCTCTGAGGACCGCAGGGAGCATTGCTTCTTCTGAGCACAGGTTTCTTCCAAGAGATTTCCAGTCATTCTTCTCTCCCATTAGCACAAAAATACTGGAAGAATTGTCTGTTTTATGGTATTTTTGTACTTTTACATATGCCTGTTCCAAAATCTGGGTCATAAGAGGGCAAAGAGTATGAAATGGGTAATGGAGTTTGCATTGTTTTACTTTTTCTTTCCCCAAATTCTAGTTACCTGTAATGTAGCTGTTATGCAGAAAGGAGATATATTTCCAAGTTGTCCACTGAATACTCTGCTGCTCATAAAACTAGCAGGATAATTGCATTAGAGGTTCACAGAAATGTACTATTAATGTAAAATAGCTATTTCTCCCCTGGCAATTTTGAACATAATGTTTGTCCCCACAGAATTTCAGCTTTGACTAAACAGTGAAGTACTTTTGCTTTGTAGCTATGATAAAAAGACATTATTTTCTATGAAAACTTTTTTTCTTACAAAAAAAAAAAAGATATCAGAAGACAAAAAGTCTTCCTTTGTTTCTAGCTGTTTGCTAATTCACTTGTAGGTATATGAAGGAGGGGAGGGTCTTTCCAGTTGTTGTTGTCTTGTTCTGTCCATCCTTCCTGTATTTGAACGTCAGAAGATTTCAGCATTCACTCAAGCTGCAATACAGACTGGTTGAAACATGAGCAGTGCAGCACACAGAGTACTACACAGGCACTACAATGACCTTTCCTGATTATCTTGTATTCTGTCATGAGTTAAATGAGGTCATTACTGATGTTGCTTGCATTCCTCTTCCTTGGCCCATGACTTCAAAGACTAATGGGCCCCTTTTGTCACTGAATTCTTGTCAAAACGTTCAGTCCAATCAGGCCCCTAATAACTGCATGTAGGGTAACATTCACAGATGAAAAGAACATGCAGACACATGCCTTATACATAATTAATCCTTCCAATGAACTTCATGAATTTCAAAATTACACAAAATGGAACAAATCCAACAGATAGTCTCCCGTGGGCATATGAGGTCACGTATCCTGCTAGGAGGGCGAGGAAGTGCTATTTAACATGGATACCCAGCAATGACTCACACAGTGTCAGCAACTGATTTATTTTCTCTTCCTGCTGCCATCTTTACATCTAACCTGAGGTCTGACAACATTATCAGGACTCCAAGAAGCCTGCCTATCATTCCAGGAACTGAGCACCCAAACTCTCACTGGGGTCCCAAGAAGTCCAAGTGTCGCCATCACTGCTGCTGTCACCGAAGTGGAAAATTCTTTCAAATGCATCTTGCCAATTCTAGTTATTCACATGATCAAGAAAACATTCAGATTTCTGTCCAGAATACTCTGCTCCCACCAAATAACAGTATTGGGAGTGGGGGTAGGGTGGAGAGAAGGATTTGTTCTTGGAATCATGTAAAAGTAGTGGTTGACAATTTTCTCTCTAACGAAATGTTTGCCTAATTCGGTCCTGGCAGGGCTGTGCACATGTGGCAGCCACATCAAAAAGCCTGGGCACTGGCACAAAGAGCAACATGGCCTGAAGTGGTTTTCTGTGCTGCTACATGCCAACTGCATGCTCAAACCCCAGCGCTCACACTTAGGTCTTCTGTCCGAGACATGATTAGTGTTGCACTGACTAGCGGTTTTGTCGTATTTGTTCAGAATTGGTGACACGAACCCAGACTTCTGAAAAATAACATTTGTATTTTCCTCCTCCCTCTTAATTCCACATTAATCTTTCCCTGTGTTATTACTGATAGGTATCAAAACATGTCAGACATACCAAAATGAATATTTTACAATGACCTTTCCCAAATTTTTTGGAATGCGTTTGACAAAAATAGCTTTCTTTCTTCAAAGTAGATGTTCTAGTAGTAGAAGAAATGTTCTAGAAATCTTAATATTTTCAATACATGAAATATCTTTCTCCATCAAGCTTTGCGCATGTGATAAAGCCTACAAGCATCCACAAGCATGAGACAAAAATTAAACAAAACACATAAAGAAGCAGTATGAAAAAGGTCGTAAAAACAGCTATATGCATATGAGAATTTTAGAAGTTGAATTTCTTGTAGGCAAAATAGCAAGAATTGATTTTTGAGACAGATTATAATAGAAAAGGATGACTCTAAAGGTCAGCAAGTTCTTCCCCTTGCACAAGTTGGATAAATATTTCAACACAATTCCTGAATGATTTCAATCTAATTTGTTGCTAAAAATGTACAGTGAAAGAAATTCTAAGCCACCTTGGATACATCTTTCAGTGCTTCATAACTTTCACCATTTATTTTTTCCTAATATATTACATAAATCAACGTGCAATTTTGCAGTAATTGAGTCCAAGTACTTTTTGACTTATTCCATCTGATATGGAGAATAAAATCCATGTTTTCTTTCTATGAACTTCTTGCATACAGCAAAGGTAACCACCTCCTATGCTCTGCATGCGTTACTGTTATAAA